GTCAGGAAGGTGAGCATCATGGAATGCCAGTTTAATAGAACAAAATATTCTTGCATTGAGGGAGTACTTGAGTGGAGGTTCAATGTCCATCTGCTACCTTAATATTAAACCTATACATATATGCACTTAGATCTATTTCCACAACCTCATATATAAATATATTTACATATGTACATGCCTTTATTTAGATCTCTATATATGCCCTTTGCCTTCTAGCGCTTTCCTCTATTTCCTTTTACTTTCCTCTTGTCCCACTATCATGTTCAGCCTTCATTTGGGTTTCAGTAATTCCTCTGTTACTTTACCCTTGGTCACGTCCTACCAGGCCTTCTACACCCTCCTCACCACCGATTTGGATCACTTGTTGTTCCCTTGTCCCTGAGTTTGTTAACACCACTTCCTTTCTCCCCACCTTCCCCTCTCCCATGTCTCCCCCGAACTGTCCGTCTTGTTTTTTTCTCCTCCAGATAGTTCATCCAGCCTATCTTATGGAAACAGACCTGGGGAGATAATAACATGCACAAAAACAAGACAGAGCAAAACCAAACAACAAAAGAAAACAAAACAACAACACCACCAACAAGCTGATGACAAAAAAACAAACAAACACAATAACAAGAAAGAAAAGCTGGTAGTTAGTTCAAGGACTGTTAGTTGGCCTTTAGGAGTGTTTTCTGGTCGAGTCTGATGGGGTCCCATGCCCTGGCCCCAAAGTCTATTTTTGGTGTTCCCCGGGGACTTTGTTACTCTGTTCCCTCGGTGTGGTAGGATCAGATTAGGCGGAATTCCCACACTGTGTCTCCAGTATTGTCCCTTGTAGGGCTATGGGTCAGTGAGGGATGTCGTGTCTCATAGTGAGGCCCGGCCACATGGTCCTCTCTGGAATGGCTGCTCTGAGTGGGAATCTCGCTGTCAAGGCTTGGTGGGCCAGGATGTGCTCCACTCTCTCTTCCTCCCCCTTCATTTGCTCCACTGTGCTCTGATCAGACATGTCCCTCTCCCTGAGCTGCAGATTCAGTGCTTTCCTCTGAAATAAATTCTTCTGGGGGGAGGGGCAGGTGTCCACATAGTTGGATTGGGGCTGGGCCCTCAGACCTCTCCACTGGTTCCCTATTCCATGTTGGCATGTTGCATTCACATCTTGGAGCACTGGGTTGAAGTCTGGTTCCTCTTTACCTGTGGAGATATAAACAATACCCTCCCCTTGGGTGGGTTAGTGCCCTCTGCCCCCGCTACCCATTTCTTTTCTTTCTTTCTTTTTTTCCCTTTTCCCTCCATTTTAGTTTTGCTTGTATCCTACCTAGCGAGAGCTAATGTTAGACTTGATTTTTTATTGTCTTAACCTAAGAAGTAGATGCACTGTTTTTGGAATTTCAGATGTTAGTAGTCGACGTTTTTTAAGTAGCATCCTAATTTCATCAGTTCTTATTCTTTTCTATTTTAGGCTTTTCAAAGGCTTGCCCAACTTATCAAAGAATCTTTATGAAGAAATCGAGATTACTCATGGATTTTATCCGATAAAATATCTCTATGCTTTGGATGGATAAAATGATGATCTTTATTGAACTTATAGATTGAATTTAATATGTCATTTCTGTAATGTAATGATATAATTTTAAAAATCTTTAATCCATTAGGTTGACAAAATATCTTTTTAATCCATTTATATCATTTGATAAATTTTCAGTTTAAAATTATTTTATCTTTGGTTTTACTGTAAAGGACTCTGTAGGTTCTTTATGGTTCAAATTTTCTTTGAACCTAATATTTTACAATGATTTGTTCTAGAAATTTAAGGTGGTGCTCTCTTTGGATCAAATGTTAAATGTTCTACTTGTAAGAAATTTTCTGTTGGTAAGAATGTTAGAATTTTCCCATTATAAATGAGTAAAGGCACAACAGATACTGTTATACCATACAAATCTCTTTACAAATAAAATCCCACAATTAAACACACCTCGCAGAATCAGATCATTTATTCTAAGTAAGGAGGAGAGATCGTGGACTGAGAAAATCTTTCCTCATTGTTTTTCCATCATACTACACCATTTATAGAAACAGACTCTTATTAGTTATAGCATTTACATCTATTACAACCTTCTGAGATAATTTAAGATACACTTGTGTAATGATTTTCTTTATTCCCTTTAAATAATTATTTTGCTGCCTGATTATTAAAATCATACGAAAGTAAGCCAGAAAGTGTTGCCACTAGAATTCCAGTTCAGACAAACAAGGGTTGATCCTAGACAAGACATATTTAAACTTGATTCTGTGATCTGTGGGTGGCTGTAGACAAGGCCTCTCAGAAATACACTGGTCTGCGTCTCCCTAGGGCACTGTGGATAGCTTCTGCCTTATGTTCTGTGGACATGTTGTCAGGAGAGACCAGCCATTGGGAAAAGGGCGTGTTTTGTGAAGAGGAGGGGCAGCAAAGGAGAAGGCCCCCAGGAGATGGACTGACACCGCTGCTGCAACCACGGGCTCGGGCGTTTTGTCCTTGGAACAAAAGGTCGCCTTAGTTGGAGCAGACTCGATGGCACCGGACAAAAACGGTGCCGTCAAAGCAGTGGTTTCCAAGGGGATCTGCTTGGCCAGTTACATTCAAGGAGAGAGATGACCTCAGATGGTTATGACAACTGTCTTTTGGTTTTTGGGGGGTGGGGGGTGGGTAGGATTGCCAGTGGGTAATCTTGATATGTTTTCTTAAAGGACACAGGATAATAGGAACTTATGGGGACGTTTTAAGAAAATTTAAAACGGTCATGGAGAGAAGAAGGCCAGGAACATTGCACCAAAGAATTTTTGTTTTCTCATGATGACAAAGCACCTGCTCACTTTCCAAGAAGAGCGAGGACTGTCTGTCTTAGGTTAGGCTCTCCAGCAAGGCAAAGCCAGTGAAGCTTATATGTTTATATATACAGAGAGCTTTTCCTCAAGGAGATGTTTATGTAGGTGTATGGTGTGTTAGTCTGGGTAGATTAGAGAAACAAATCCAGGGAGACTCATACATGATAGGAATAAAAACAAATCAACAAGCAATTATATATTGACAACACATCCCAGCCCAGTCCTGATCAAGTCCATAAGACCTATATTAGCCCATAAGCCCGATACCAGTCTATAAATTTCCTCTTCAAACTCATGTAGCACATGCAATGACGCCGAATGCAGGAAGATCACAGGTCAGTGGGTTGAAAGTCTTGTGGATCCAGTGGCAGTGGAAGCATCTCAGTGCTGGTGTGGGTCTCCACATGGCTCTTCTAGCTCCAAGGCCCTGGCTCTATCAACATAGCTCCATGTGGCTTCTCAGCAGGAAGATGAAGGCAGGGAGAGCGGGTCTGGCCTCGGGTGAGTTATTTATCGCCTTAGGCCTCCAAATGAGGTCATCAAGCTGCGACCTGATTGACAGGCTACACTCCACCCCTTCACTCTTAATAGTCTCAAGTTGACACCAGATGATGTAACTACCACATACAGGTTGGCAGGTTCCAAGTCTACAAGCTAGATGAAGGCTTCCCCTGACTCAGGTAGCTAGCTGCAAGGGCTGATGAACCTCAAAGATAAGCAAGTCAGAGAGCAGGCTGTGAAGGCAGATGCATTCAAGATCGACAGATAAGGTGGCAGACTGCTGACTCAAAGGCTGCAGAGGCTAACAGATCCCAGGATTGACAGGCAATACAGCAGGCTGCACATTTAAGTCCAAAAACCTGGAAGTCATTGTTGATAAGCCAGATGTCATAACCAGGTACCGTGAAAATCTCTCCAGAATGTTGATAAAAAGAGTCAGTCTTACCCCTCAAGAAAAATTCCTTGATCTCATCATGGAAGTGATTATATCAGATCTCATGGGAAATGACTATACCATAACTGCCAAACCACTGACAGCCTTGATCTAGCCAAGATGACATACATCTTAACCATCACAGGCCGCTCTGAGAATTTTGTTGGGAAACCTTACCTCACCGACTCTACAGCCCAGATAATTGCTCCTTCAGACTTCTTCTTGTTCTGCACACTCAAAGAAGATTTAGAAAGAACATGATCTGAGTCCCTTAAGGATGCCAAAACTACCATTCTGGTGTGCAAATCGAAGAGCACGGGATGATCGGAAGGAGGTCTGGTGACGTCGTTAGTCCATGCTGACTCACAGAGCCCCCTGGACCACAGAGGACACACTGGCTGAACGTGCACCATCCTCACTGCCATTTGTATGCTTGGGGTCATTGCTGCGGCCACTGTATCAATCCATCTCGTCGAGGGGCCTCCTCTTTTTTGCTGCCACTCCACTTTACCAGCCAGGATGTCCTTCTCCAGGGACTGGTCTCTCCTGACACGTCCACAATACATGTGACACATAGTCTCACCATCCTTGCCTCTAAGGAGTCTTCTGGCTGTCCTTTTTCCAAGACAGATTCCTTGGCCCTTTTGCCAGTCTGTGGTACTTTCAGTGTTCTTCACCAGCACCCCATTTCAGATATATCGACCTGTCTTTGGTCACCCTTCCTCAATTCGCAACATCTAGAGATGGAAACCCTGCCTTCAGAGGTATACAGACCTTGGTGGAAGATGTGTTCAGAAACAATAGCTTCACATTTCGTTATTTTTATTTAATAAACATTTCAGATTTTCTAGCACTTTTTAACTTGGGTTTATATATGCTTATATAAAGTTTTTCAGATAATCCAGAAAGTGTAAAGAATAACGTAAATAAAAACCACTCTCTCACCATCCAGTATTAACTGCTGTCCACATTTTATTATCCATCCTTTGGCATATACATGTAAAACCTATAAGAGCCCTGGTGACACTGTCAGGTTAGCATTGGACTGCTTACCACAAAGTCCAAGGTTCAAACACACCAGCTAATCCAAGTGTGGAAGATGAGATTTCCTGCTCCCATAAAGATTTACAGCCTGGGAAAATACGGGGCAGAATGAGTCAGAATCAGCTCCATGGTTTGATTTCAGTTTGGGTGAATAGGTTAGGCCCATCAGATAATTTACATATTTTCTAACTAACTGATTAATAACCTTAGCTAGATCTGAAAATTAGTTAGTTCAATTCCAACTCATGTCAAGCTTGTGTGTGCAGAGTAGAACTGTCCCGTGTGCTTTCCAAGGTGATTACCTTCCTGAAGAATATGGAAAAGCCTGTCTTCCAAGATGCTTCTGGGTGCATTTGATTGACTAACTTCCCAGCTAGTAGTCACACCTTAACCATTAACAGATGTGCCGCCCAGGGGCATCCATCATCCTCAGTCTTAGTGATCACAGGCACAAGATACCAAGGTGAATGTGTTAACATGTTCCCTACCGCATGGCCTGACATAGCAATAAACATAAATCTACACATGCCATGACGGGGGAGTCTTTAATTGCATGAAGGACAATAATTCATTTAACCAATGCCCTTTTGAATAATGCTACCATTTCAAATTTAGCCTTGAAAATATAACTTCGTATAATTTTATATTGTTTCTAAACATTAAATTGAGAATTGCTCAATTAAAGAGTATTCAGATTTTAAACTTTTTTTTTCCTTCAGATTTTAAACTTTTATACGTAATGTCAAACTCTCAAAAGCTACAATTCTGGCTGATTTTAAATAACACCACTTGTTTTACCATTGCCCTTGATTTTTAAGGGTATGATTTATCAGAGGAGCCCTGGTGTCACAGTGGGTTAAGCGCTAGACTGCTAGCCACAAGGCGGGTGTTTCCAACCACTTCACAGGAGACAGTAGAAGCTGTTTGCTTCCGTAATGATTTATAGTCTGAGACCCTATGGATTAGGGTTTCTACTCTTCTTGTAGGCTCCATTCTGTCCTATAAGATGGCTATGAGTTAGAATTGGGTTATTTCTTAATAGAGTAAATAACCTCAGAGCTTAAAGCATTTCCTGCCTAAAACCTACATGGCAGGTAGGATCTCTCCCAGGCCCTATAACTCCTGACTTGCCACATGGCCCTTGGTTGGCCATTACATCCACATCTCAGATAAAACTGCTGACCCAGGATTTTAGGGGTGGTTGCCTCCCTTTCATTCAAACTACCAAAGCCAGTATCTACCAACAGGTATCATAGTTTTAGACATACCAGACATAATAACAAGGGGTTCTGTTCACGTTAAAGCCAGTTAGCAAATTAACCATAGCCATTCTAGAGAGGACTGTCAAAAAACCAAACCAAGCCTGTTGCTGGGCAGATTTCCACCAAAGCAACCCAGTAGAACTGCCCCATAATGTGTCCGAAGCTATTAATGAACAGAAGCAGACTGCCATATCTTCTTCCTGCAAAGTGGCTGGTGCATTTGCACTGTCAACACTTCCAGCAGCCAAATGCTTAAGCTCGGCACCACCAGGACTCCTTGAAAGAATTGTAAGCTTCCCTAAATTTAAGAACACCATATTCACAAAACAATTCCCTCTGAGTTAAATTATGTGTGTTACTGTTTTCATCTCAAAACGGGGAGGGGGGGAAGTAATAAGCTTGTTTCTTCACAAAAAGAACTTCTGACAAGCAATTATAGGGAAACAAGGAAAGGTAATTTAAGAAGTATTGATAGTCTCCCTTTCTCAACTACACAGACTGATAGGAAATGGATTTTTTTCCCTTAAGTTTTCTCCAGGATTCTTTAAACAGTGATGTATCCCATTCAGGTGATGTTGATTGAATTGTTGACCAGGTAAAAGTATGAATACATTGACCCAGTCTGAACACATTTAATTCCCTGTTACCATTTTTATTAAATCCCTAAAACTGAAAGGCAATCAGATGGATCTTGACTAAAAGCAGAGAATACCAGAAAGATGTTTACTTGTGCTTTGTTGACCATGCCACGGCATTTGACTTGTGGATCATATAATAAAGTCTTGTGGATCACATAATAAACATGGATAATATTAAGAAGAATGGGAATTCCAGGACATTGTATTGCCTTCATGCAGAACTTGCAA